CCAGCGCCGTGGGGGTCATGTCCAGCAGCACAAAGGTGGGTTTCCAAGTGGGCATGGGCTGGGCTGGGCTCAAAGCCCTTTGTGTTTGGAGGGGTAGCTGCACTGACCTTGAGGAGCGGAGATTGGCTGTGGTTGAGACCCAGTCTCAGCTCCAGATGTCCAGGATTTCAGGGTGGTGTGGAAATCAGTGGGGGACATGAGTCTGGCCCCAAAAGCAAGTCACATGAGGCCTGGGTTTTATGCCCCTGGGGGAGGGCAGCAGAAATCTCTCCATCAGCCCCAAGGCCGCACATTGACCCCCACCCCTCAAGCCCACCCCGCGGCAGGTCCTCCTCCCAGCAGCGCTTGCTGCCCAGGAAAACCAGGAAACCCGCCATGCTCAGTCTCGCGCACCCTCGTGATGGAGGATGTTGGGTGTTATCACTGTCATCCTCATCAGCTGCTACCGATGTGTTGCTAGTGTTGAAGTCTCAGGAACTTCAGTGCCAGCAAAAGTCACAGCCAACACCAGTCTTGTCTTAAAGAATAACCGTAGGCTTGGTTCAGTGACAAAGATTCGGGCAGGGTTATTGTCTGCAACCACAACTGTAATACTTTTTGGCCTGACAAGTACATCAGATGAAGAATTCAGTCATTTGTACCAGTGACAAGTAGTTAGCACAATGCTACCCAGGCTCCCCTACAAAGGTCCCATTCTTTCCAACCCTCCTTTAATACAGTGATCAAAGCAAGTTACATATTGCATTTCATCTGTATCTTGAATGTCTCCAACTGTCCTGTACCATGGGCTTGTCTCACATCTGGACCTGGGGGTTCCTGTTCTAGTCTCATCGTCCTGGTCCTGAACTGTCCTGCACCTTGTACAGCCATCTCCCCCTCCCATCGTCTGGCAGGAGTGCCCATCTGGCCAAGCGCTGTGTGTGTGAGGAGTTTGTGCATCGCTCAGGTTTGCTGGTCAGTCCACTCTGGGCCGTGCTTTAGCAAAGCCTTTGTGCGAACAGTATGTGTATCAATCATTTGGCTATGCACACAGCCCATGTACATGCACACACACCACGCACAACCCTGTTGGAGGAACAAAGCTGGTCAAAGTCCTGTGGTCGTTTGAAACGCTAAGCAATTCCTCCTTACTTTACGGCCCAGCATGTTGAGGCGGGTTTGTTTCTGGCAGTTGATATTGTTTCAATCACAATGGTCTCTGCGTTGGCTGAGCAGGGGCCGGCGGGAGGGGGAGGCTTAGCAGAGTCGTTGTTCTTGCTGGATGCCTGGACTAATTAAAACCGCCTCAGAGATGCGGCAGCTCAGCCAGCTCCAATCAGACCTGCCGGGCGGGGATCAGAGGTAAGGTCCATCCAGGTCCTGGGTTGCTTAGAGCCTTTCTTGGCTGCAACCGCCCCAGGTGATGCAGGGAGGAACTGCCCATTTGCAAGCAGCCTCGGCCTTGTGCTTTCAGGGGGCAGCTCGGGGACAGGAGCCCTAAGGGGCTGAAAAGGAGAACGTGGGAATGGGACCCGAACGGGGTTGGGTGTTGAGCTGGTCTCCTGGCACAGGGCAGCACTGCCACGGCCCAGGGCATCCATGGAGGCCTCCCTGTTCCCACCCAGTCCCTTGCACTTCCCGGGTGACTTAGGAATGGGGAAGCCATGGTGGGGCATTGGTGTGGGAGTGGGAGAAGTGAGCTCCCCCAAACCGGCGGCAGCTCCATTGTCCTTCCCTTTGGGGGGAGCAGGGGGCTTGGCACCATGCCCAGGCAAAACCCAGAGCGACCCCCTCTCTGCGCTCCAGCTGCTGCTGCAGAGGCCTGGCTGCTGGCACCAGGACAGGGAGCCTGGCTGAATGCAACAGCTGGCAGCGCCGGGGGGGGGCGGGAGCCGGGGGATAATGTTGCAGCGCTAATTCCTAGGCACACAGCGCTCCCTGTTTCTGCGGGGCTGGGGAAGGGGGCAGAGCTCCCCGCTCCCCCTTTCACAGGGGCTCTGCATCTCTCCAGACTCTTCCTAATGGATTTTCCACGCAGGGCCCAGCTTGTTCAGCTCTGCCTCCGTCGCTCTGTTTCCAGGGCTGGCGCAGGCACGGACTGAGAGGGGCTCGAGACCCCCACGAGCATGTGGCAGCGCCGGCCGGGCTGCCCCAGACAGGCCCCTGGCTGGCATCAATGCTGCTCCCTTCCCCAGCAGAGAGAGTGAGCTGGGGATAGCCAGGATACACCCTGCAAGGATCCGGCTCCTTGCAAGTAATTAATTGACTGGGGAGGGGAAGGAGAGGCCAGCATCCGTCTCCCAGCTGCTCCAGGTGTGCCCTGGGAACGCCCATTGTTTGAGCCCCGGTCGCTGGTGACCGAAGATTGCAGGTGAACACTGATAACGAACAGATGCCCAGCCCAGGTGGGGAGCAAAGGCGCAGGGAATCGCTCGCATGCCATGCTGGGTAGCGGAGCAGAGGGTGGCCGTGCTCCACGCTTCTCATCTGCCTTGGCAGAGTGGGCTCCAGGCCTGAGGAGCAGAGTCCTGGCTGGGGGAGTGGGCAGCTGGCAGAGGGACGCTAGCGGTGGAAAGAAGGAGCTCAGGGAGCTGGAAGCAAAGCTGCTGTGTCCTTGCAGTCCTGAGGCACAGCTGGGCACGGCACCCAGTGACCGTCTCTTGGTGGTGCAGGTGCCTGGCCCTGGGGTGTCCCCAGCCCTGAGTTCCTGGAGAAGGAGGAGGGGGCTCCCCGGGGTGCAGGTGCCACGAGAAGGGGGCAGAGCTGCTGCGGAGATGCAGCCATGCGGGCTGTGCCCCATGCAGCTCTGGAGGCCAGCACTGGTCTGTACCGCCATCCCGTGGCAGTGCGGGGGATGGCTGCATTCGTGGCTTCCCAGGCTGCCGGCCACATCCCCAGGGCTGCCTCCTTCCCTGACCCAGGGCTTTCTCCCTCTGTCCCCACGCTCGTCCTCTCTAGCTCAGCCTGGGGGCAGCAGGGGAGGGATGGCAACACAGACAGTGCAAAGCGCATCATCTCTCCTTCCGGTTCAGTCCTGTTTTCCCCTCGAGCACCAAGGCTGCCATCCAGGGAGGATTTATTGTGGAGCACCGTAGCTTCCCCTGCGATGAATGCGTGCATCCTGACCCCAGGCAGGCGGGAGTCTTGAAGGGGCAGTAGCCCAGGGGGTTGCAATGGCCTCATTCAGTGGCCGAGCAGAGCCTCTTGGAGGGAGGACAGTGCACAGCAGGCACCACCACAGCCCAGGGCCTGCTCCAGCCTGGGGTCTCAGGGCAGCATGATCCTTTGCCCTGGGGTTGGCGGGAATGACTCCACATAAGGACATTGAGCCACTCCCTGCCCTTGTGCTAGGACACGCGTCTAGTGTCCTGCCCGTCCGTCTGTCGGCCTGCTGTCCTGGCCTTCGTCGCCCTTTGCAGGGTCATTTGGGGAAAAGAAGGGGAGGTCAGTGCTGGAGGGTTGTTACCGGGGAGAGGAGCTGCCGGGCTGCTCAGTGCCCATGGGCTTGGCACCACACTGGTAAAGGCCAGGGCTAAGCCTCCATGCTTCAGAGGACCTGAAGAGACCACTGGGGAGTGTGGGGCTGGTCACTTTGTGCCGGGATTGTGCCAACCTGGAGGAGGAGAGGGCAGAGAGGGGAGGGGCAGAGGCTGGTGCCAAGAGAAGTCAAAGCCCATAACCTGCTGCGTGCCTCAGTTTCCCCATCTCTGGAAAGGGGGAGAAGGGAGCCCTGGGGCAAAGAGGCAGTGTGGGACCTTCAGTCAGGGATTAACTCCTAACTCCTGCCTCAGATGTGAGCTCTCTGGAGCAAAGGGGATGGAGACGAGCCAAGGCTCCCTGCTCCCTTTGCATGAGCTTTACTCCCTCCTGCAGTCTTGAGCCTGGGGCCGAAGCAGACTCAGGTTACCTGGGGCAGAGCCCCTTCCCTGAGTGCTCAGGACCCAGCACCCCCAGCTTCATCAAAAATAGGGGCAGCTCCTGGCAGGACTGGGTGGGCATTAACCCTTTCAGTGCTGAAGGCTGTCCCACCCCCATCCCAGGGCCTCTGCTAAAGCCTGCTCCATGTTCCCTGCCACTGCCTGGGAGGGGTTTGGGAAGCCGGTCCTCAAACCAGCTGGAGCTTTGCTGGGACAGTGGCCCCGTGGTGCGGCCAGCATTGCTCTGAGCAGAGCCAGAGGCGGTCACGGCGCCCAGGGGCCCATAGCTCAGGGTGCTCCAACGTCTGGTGTATGGTAATGGGAAATGGAAACCACGAACACAGCGAAACGGGGAGAAGGGCTCGGTGTAGAGTTTCCTTCTAAGTAGGTCAGGCCTTCTGCGGGGCAGGATTAGCATCTGCCATGCCGCTGCGCCAGCCGGCTTCCTGCGACCGGAGCTCGTATCCCGATGCTTCAGGGCACGTGCGAGCAGTGCACGGGGTCAAGGAGGAGAGGTGTCATTGGAGGGCAGGTGCATGGTCGGGGCTTCTTCGTCTCCCTAGCCTGGGGTCCGTGACAGGGGCTGGCCTGGGTGGGCTGGGGGAGAGGGCAGGGAGGAGGGAGGGCCAGCAGCTGGCCCATGGGGTGGTGGAGGAGGTGCACGCCACCATGGCTTAGTCCCACTGCAATGCCAACTCCTCCGGCTGGCATTTTGCAGCGCTCATCTCCCCATCGTGGCTGCACCCCAAAAATCATTCGGGGGCCGCAGGCAAACAAAAGACGGAAGCAGGCAGAGTCGGGGTGGGAGGCGATCGGGGCCTCCGCGGCAACGGCGGGGGGCCGCAGTGTCCGGCGTGGCTGGGCTCCTGCATGCTGCTGGCTGGTGGTGGCGTGACGTGGAGCAGCACGTGGCCACGACGGCACGGAGAGCCCGAGCGCGTGCCCTGCTGTCGGTAGGCGCCTTCCCCACCCTTGTTTTTCCCTTCCCTGTTCCTTATCCTCATCTCCCCCCACCCCACCCCCCGCTTCAGGGCCGGCTCGGACGGAGGGCGCGTTTCCACGCGGACTGACACTGTTCCCCCTTCCATCTCTTTTCCTACCCAGAATTCCCCTCCACCCCGCCTCCGAGCAATGACCGCAAATCCGTGGCCCAGCCCAGCCTGCCCACGGCTGTGATTGGGGGCGTGGTGGGCGGCGTCTCCCTGGTCCTGGCGGTGGCCGTGGTGCTCTTTGTGTTGCTCCGGCGCCGGCGTCACACCTTCAAGGGCGACTACAGCACCAAGAAGCACGTGTACGGCAACGGCTACAGCAAGGCTGGCATCCCGCAGCACCACCCGCCCATGGCGCAGAACCTGCAGTACCCCGACGACTCTGACGACGAGAAGAAACCGGGGCCGCTGGGCGGGAGCAGCTACGAGGACGAGGACGAGGACGCCGGGGGCGGGGAGCGCAAGGCGGGCGGCGCCAACAAGTACGAGGACGACTCCAAGCGGCCGTACTTCACAGTGGACGAGGGCGAGCCGCACACGGAGCCCTACGACGAAAGGACACTCGGCTTCCAGTACGACCCCGAGCAGCTGGACATGGCCGAGAACATGGTCTCCCAGAACGACGGATCTTTTATTTCCAAAAAAGAGTGGTACGTGTAGCTCGCCCCCCACCCTCTCCTTGACCCTGCGCCCTCCCACGCGTGCACACACACACACGCACGCCCACCCGCACGCACGCTCCCCTCACCCCAGCGGGGCCCTGCCGCGCGCCTCCCGACCCCTGTGCCGGGCCGAGGGGCGCGGGGACACACCTGGCACGCACGCCTGCGCGCACGCCGACGCCGCCACCCGGCCCGAGGGACCTCCGCAGAGACTTGAGCACCTGCCACGAACTTGGAGGCATCGGGAAGGGATGAGGGGGGGCTGGTCGCTTTGCTTAATTGATCATTTTGGGGAGGGGGTCCTGGGTTTTTTTGGTTTTGGGGGTTTTTTGGGGTTTTTTTGGGGGGGGGGGG